GTTCGTGTCTATTGGCCCAAGAGAGTTGACACGACCCTAGACCTGCAGATTTAATAAACAGTTTTTGAATGTAGGAGAATTTTACGTTTTTTTAGGGGAGGGGGGGGGGGCGCCTGGCAAACCTAGGTTGTAGAAGACACGTGATCCCGAGTATTATCTGGGAGGTTAAAGAATCTAAGAAGGAAAGAGGAAATGGAGTAATGGAAAGGTGGTCAATGTGTGTCACTGGAGTGTGGTGGCCACTGGAATGTTAGCCACAGGAGTAAGGTGATCACTGGAGTAGGGTGAACACTGGAGTAGGGTAAGACGCTAGAGTTAGGTGGTCGCTAGAGTATGGTGGCCACTGGAATAATATTACCACTAAGGTTACTGGAGTAAGGTTGGTAATAGGGGCAAAAAGTGGTTGTTGGAGTGAGGTGGCCACTAGGGTTGGGTGGCTATTGTTCTCAGGTGGCCATGGAGTAAAGTTGTCCTTGGAGCATCATAGTCGCTCGAGTAAGGTGATCGATGAGGCAAGGTAGTCATTATACGGCTTTTTTAAAGTTTCGTAAAGGTCAAACCAGTCTCGTTGGTGGCTATAGAGTACAGTGGAGACTTTCACCTGTCAATATGCCTAATCAGCTGTGATAGTTTCAGGAAGATCAGCTCATAATTATGGACACTCGGGTGGTAACAAGCAGAGCAGAAAACAAACAGACACCCACCCACAAAGGCAGTTAACCTATAAGCGTGACGGGATCATAAATGTCTACTCCCGTGTGTATTTTTTTTTTAACTACGATCAGGAAGTTTACTACTAACCTGCCCTATTTTAGTAGCTGAAACAGAACTCTGGAGGCCCCATAAATATTAGAGTAGACGGTGAACTATAAGAGTAAAAGAACTCGCTACTTTTTTCTCCTTGCTTTGATTTTAAGTAAATTTTAGGTTCTCGGAGTAGAGGAAGGTTATGAGCTAAAGTAAACGAAACTCTCGCTAATGAGCGAGATCTTCAGAGTTCTGATAGTGTAAAGTTACGAAGTTGTTGTTCTCGAGTAACGATTTGTTTTGGCCATTTACAAAGAGAAGAAGAATGGGCTCTGGGCCTATAGCACAGATTGTAGGGAGAAAACGGCGTGTAGAGGACAACTTGATTGTATATAGTACGTAGATTTTTTTTTGGGGGGGGGGGGAACTACAATGTTGGTCTTCAGCAAAAGTTTCAGACCCAGGGGCGAGGTCCTTGAAACGAATAGTCTCAAATGTTAGTGACAGTGGCAATGAGCCCACCAGAAACTGTAGTGGAGGACCTAAGGACGAATGGTCTTGGAATGGGACCATAGAAACTGGTTATAGATCCATCTGAAGCACTGGTCAGGGTCCTTGGAATGAATGGCCTGCGACCCTAAAAATGATTAAGGACCCAATAGGAGCAGTGGTCAGCGTCACATGAAAACTAGTGTGTGTCGACTATGGAACCGATAGTTATACGCCAATATCTGAGCAAGTGTTGTGGGTGGGGCTTAGAACCAATAGTCAGGAGCCCTCAGAACCAGTAGTCGGGGGCCCTCAGAACCAGTAGTCGGGGGCCCTCAGAACCAGTAGTCGGGGGCCCTCAGAACCAATAGTCAGGAGCCCTCAGAACCAGTAGTCGGGGACCTCAGAACCAGTAGTCGGGGACCTCAGAACCAGTAGTCGGGGCCCTCAGAACCAGTAGTCGGGGACCTCAGAACCACCAATCAAGGCCAGGGCCCTCTAAGCCACCATTGGGGCCCACCAGCAGCTGAAAACATTCCAAGTACTACTGCTTATGATCCCACAGCCCCGACTGCCGATATCCAAATTGATTGATCTTTCTTTGAGTTTTCCCCCAACATAATTAGCTCCGTGCTCCCTTCCTGAAGCACCTTATTCCCCCTGGCAGGTTCCAGACCCTCAACCAAGTAAATATTATCGGGAGAGGAAGCCTGTTTGTCTATGTCTTTTACTCTACGTGTTTACATTTATCCTCCTCTCTCTCTCCCTCTTAGTCTGTATATCTCTGTTTATATTTATCTATGTTTGATAAATCTATCTGGTTATGGACGTAGCAAAGTGTACTGTGATCTATTGTGTGTGTACATAAAAAAGTTTTCTCATACTTTAAAACGAGAAGCAATATTTGGTGAGCGCCGCGGCATATGTCGATCAGTACCTCCACCACGTGACTACTGACGTAATGATGACGCCTTTGCGTGACGTCATAACTTGCCACATGCCACAACCCCGTTCGTTAACTTACATCGAAAAATCATCCACTGAAAATTAAAAGTCAAAATAGAGTATAACAATTTCAGGCATTTATTAAGTTGACAATTTGGTGGATTGATTTAGAAAACAAAACCAAAAGATTGAATGAATTAAAAAGTGTCAATGAAAATTTACCGGCATGAGCAGGTAAGGTTTGTGACACTTGTGAAACATTGACACATATTACTAATGGTTTCCACCCACACCTGGTGAAGGTGGAGGTGTGGCGGGGGTGGAGGTAAAGGGGTGATGGTGGTTAAATAAGGGTGGGGTTAATGGCGATAGTAGAAGTTAGGTGGTAAGAGTGTGTTAGGAGCCAGTGGAGGTTAGGTGATTGTTGAGGTTAGGTGATAGTGGAGGTTAGGTTGGAGTGAGATTGGGTGGATGTTAGGTGAGGATGGAGGTTAGGTGAGGATGGAGGTTAGATGACAGCGAGGGTAAAGATGAGGGTAGAAATTTTGTGGCGATAGAGGTCAGGGCGAGTAGAGGTCAGGGAGAGTAGAGGTTAGGATAAGCCACCCACGTAGAGGCCAGAGTCAATATTGCTTCACTGACTAGTACCAGAGCTTCATCCTCTTCCCGACGGGTGTATACTCGTGTGTGTGTGTGTGTGTGTGTGTGTGTGGAAAATCAGATCTGCGAAATCAAAAGAGGACTCAAAATAACCTGGAGGACCTTTGGGGGACCGAATCATATATTCAAAGCCAACAGTCTCCTCCTACTGATAAGGAAAACATCCGACTGGTGCGTGGTGTAAGTGTTGACATACGGATGAGATAAGTGGAAGGCAAAAGAGAAAGAGAGGGCTGGAGAAAAAGAGAGGGAGGGGTAAAAAGAGGGAGGAGTGGAGGGAGGGAGATAAGAGAGGGAGGAACGGAGGGAGGGACACGAGTGGTTGAGACGCAAGTGAAAAACTACTAGATATTCTTTCAAGGGTCGAGGGCCTGAAGTGGCAGGGATGGATCAGCAGTGGACTAAACAGATACTCAGCTGGATCCCACTAGACGGGAAACAACCAAGAGAAGAACCAGATGGGTAAAGTTGGGAGAGGTTGTTGAAGCTGGAGGCTGGAGACGAGAGGCTGGTGGTGTACTGTACTGGTGAGGGCTTCATCCAGTAGTGTACTGTACTGGTGAGGGCTTCATCCAGTAGTGTACTGTACTGGGGAGGGCTTCATCTAGTAATGTACTGGTAGTGTACTGTACTGAAGAAGGCTTCATCCAATAGTGTACTAGTAGTGTACTGTACTGGGGAAGGATTGATTCGGAGAGAGAGAGAGAGAGAGAGAGAGAGAGAGAGAGAGAGCACCAAGCCCAGGAGTCGTAATGGGTCGACAGTCGCATTAGTGTCTCGTTCAGTTGTATATTGAACAGCTCCCCTGGTGACTCCCAACGGTATGTAAATCACTCCCTCCCCCCCTGCAACTATAACTGTTTTGCGGGAAAGCTATAATGTTAGAGCCCATAAAAGACTATAGTGGAGGGTAGCAACATCACTTAAGCTAATGTTACGTCACCGTTTCCGTGAATCTTCCAGCTATGAAAAGCTAAAATGAAAATAACGCAAAATCAGTCAAGCTAATGGTAGGTCGATATAAAGACTTATAATTATTTTCTTTAGCGTGCAGCACCAACATCATTGAAGCTAAACATACTGTATAAACCTCAGTAAACTTGTTGGATTAAACGACCTCGTAAAGAGTTATAGTCAACCTCAGCTATAAAACCAATCAGAAAAAGCTATAACGGTACTGCAGTCAGGTTCAAGCTAAAACGAGTGCGTTCATCTGAAGATTCTTGCTCACCATCACATTATTGGGGGGGGGGGGTTCGGTTAGGTTTGGTCAGGTCAGGTCAGGTTAAATTGGGTTATGTTAAGTTAGGTGAGCGTAAAGTTGTTTAAGATTCAGGTGAAATAAACTGGGGGAGAATCTTAAGTGATCTAACAAATGTGATTTTATAAAGCTACAGTCAGAAGTCAAACCTCAGCTACGAATATAAGAAAAAGCTAAAAGCACTCAGCCACCCGGGGCTCTAAAGCTAAGAGAGAATAAACATTTACCACAAGAATTTAAGAGTCACGCAACAGCTCTAAAAACAATAAAAAGCTATGATAATGTTATAGTCAGGCCCGAGCTAATAAAAAGCTATAATAGACGATAATAATATCACTTAAGCTAATTATAGACACGGGGGCCAGGGAACATCACAATTATATATAGTGAATTGGGCTATTGTTCATGGGAATCGATATGAGAGACAGAGAGATTCCAATTATAATAGTTAGGTGAAATATATCAGGTTAATATATTTCACAAATGGTGTTCGCAAAGAGTAAGGAAAGAGTAGGAAAAACAAAACGTGAAGTAGATTGTAAAGGAAGTGGTGGGTGGTGTGTGATCAAAGGTTTTAGTTTCCTTCTAGATGTCCAAACACACACACACAATATGTAACTGTATATTTTCAGCCTTCTGGCTGCCAAGCTCTTTCAATAAACCGTTAATTATTATTATTATTATTATTATTATTATTATTATTATTATTATTATTATTATTATTATTATTATTATTATTATTATTATTATTATTATTACACACACACACACACACACACACTGCAGGTTCATCATCCTTGACCTTTGCTCTAATTTCCCAAATCTGGTGTGGGTCGGGTTTAGCGGGTCAGTATCAAGGGAGATATACTCTATCCCTTGGGGCGTAGTTCTCACTTACCTAATTCGTTTGGCCGGATGTTAAACTTGCTGTGGAAGAAAAAGCTTTAGTTAGTTGCTGTGTCGCTGTGCCCATAATAATAATAATAATAATAATAATAATAATAATAATAATAATAATAACTTCAATAACTTCAATAACTTCAATAACTTTGCCGCTCACTGAAATAATTTTCCCCCATATAACACAGGGTGTTCAAACACAAGCATTCCCAACATTCGCTGTCAATGAGTCACACTCTGACTGCGGTAACACGTGTGCTCTCCTCTTGGTACACTCCTACAACAAGACCTTGAATATCTACCTGGTTTGTTCTTGTCACCTCTCATATTCCATCAACAATGTCTATCTTCCCCCCAAAAAAAAAAAAAATACTCTATTACATTTGAATGATTGTACTTTTTTTTCCAACAATATTTTTCAGAAAGTTTAATATTCAACAAGACAAAATGTCAGACATACAGTAACTCCCACCTCCATATCATAAAAGGTCAAGGTCACACTATTAAAGAGTCAAAGGTCAAAAGTTAAGATTTTTTCTTGTGTTTCAGGATTGTTCTAAATGTTAATGTCTTTTATTTTTTGTATCTATTCTTTATCTCTCATTTCTATTCTCTCTATTTATTAATATGACCTTGACAACCTCTAGTGCGTTCTCTCTCCGATAATAATTCTAGTAATTGTTTCTTTATTTATTCTCCTCTGTTTCCTGGTCACCATTGTGTTCCCAAGCACAATATTTCTGACCCGTACAAACTGTTTCTTTTTCTTGCATTTCGAGTCAAGTAGCCCAGCCATATTGCTCTCTCTCTCTCTCTCTCTCTCTCTCTCTCTCTCTCTCTCTCTCTCTCTCTCTCTCTCTCTCTCTCTCTCTCTCTCTCTCTCTCTCTCTCTCATTGTGAACCATAATTTCTTCACATTTACTCGTTCCTATATTTACATATTAAGACCAATAAGTACAGTAGAACGAAAACCAAAAAAGTGATAAAAAAAACGCAAAGCCACACGACAATGATGAAGATGGAGATAAAAGATTAACAATAAAGATGAGGTTTAAGGGACAAGAAGACTGGAGGTTATGTGAAAAACAATAATAATTAAAATATATATAAATTAAGTAGTATAGATAATGTAATGAGGGTGAAGACAAGGAATCAGGAAGTGCAATAAACTAAATAAAAATGTGGCAATAAAGGAAAAAGTATACACACACACACACACACACACACACACACACACACACACACACAAACACACACACACAAAATGATGACACTAACAATGACAATCCACAAAGTCACCCTCCATCTTTCTCTCTCTCTTTTCAGGCGAGGAAAATTGTCCTGGGTCATGATAGATTGTTGACCTGTGTGTGTGTGTGTGTCCCACCCGTGTTATTTTGAATTGTTATCTTAAGTAATTTTCTCTCTCGCTTATCTTAGTTGTTTTTTTTTTGTGTGTGTGAAGAATATAAATAGGAAGAAGAAAATGGAAAGTTATTTTTTTTTTAATATAAAGATTTTTTTATGTTGAATTTAGCAAAGGATTTTTTTTTAAATGTTTCTGTGACTATTATTAGTTTTTTCTCCCTCTATCTTTCCCTCGCTTTCATTCTTTCTCTTCCTCGTTCTCTCTCTCTCTCTCTCTCTCTCTCTCTCTCTCTCTCTCTCTCTCTCTCTCTCTCTCTCTCCTTTTCTCCTTTATCCTCTTTACTCTTCAGCATCTTTCAACCACTTTTTTCTCTTCACAATTAAGAAAACGCTCACCATTGTAAACCACCGTTAATTAAGTGGTTATTTATAGGCCAGACTCTGGTTGTTGATCATTAAGGCTATGTAGTGCTTCCTGCCCTTGACAATTGTTTTTGATCGTTGCGTAAAAAAAAAAAAATCCGATCCGCGAACTAATTGTTTGGGCGTTCTAATATAAGACCGTCAACATAATACTTGGAGTTGTGTTGTTGAGAGACCGTGGTTGTGTTTGTTTGTTTATCGTCAAGTAATTGCGAACGTGATATTTGCTGTCCTTCAAGAGATCGTAAATATATGTTGGTTTTCCTCTAAAGTGATTGTGAGTGTAATGGTTTTTTTTTTTGCCGTTCTCAGACTGATGGTATAATGTTTCTTTGTTATTAGAAGATTTGAGAATATGTGTGTACTATTTCTTTACCATCAAGAGAAAGTTAATATAATACTTCTTTAACGTTAAGAGAAAGTTCATATAATACTTCTTTAACGTCAAGAGAAAGTTAATATACTTCTTTAACGTCAAGAGAAAGTTAATATAATACTTCTTTAACGTTAAGAGAAAGTTAATATAATTCTTCTTTAACGTCAAGAGAAAGTTCATATAATACTTCTTTAACGTCAAGAGAAAGTTACTATACTTCTTTAACGTCAAGAGAAAGTTCATATAATACTTCTTTAACGTCAAGAGAAAGTTCATATAATACTTCTTTAACGTCAAAAGAAAGTTAATATACTTCTTTAACGTCAAGAGAAAGTTAACATAATACTTCTTTAACGTTAAGAGAAAGTTAATATATAATATTATTTATCGTCAACCTCCCATCCACCTACCAACCTCCCACACCTACATTAACCTCCCACCCCTTACACCAACCTCCTACATAACCTCCCTACACCCCACCAACCTCCCACACCTATTAACCTCCCCTACACCAACCTCCCACACCCCCCACCATCAACCTCCCACCCCTACACCAACCTCCCACAACCTCCCACCAACCTCCCCCAACCTCCCCACACCCCACACCAACCTCCCACATCCCTACACCAACCTCCCACACCCCTACCCCAACCTCCTACAAAACCTCCCACACCCCTACACCAACCTCCCACATCCCACCCCACCAGCCTCCCACAACCTACACTAACCTCCACCCCTACACCAACCTCCCACCCCCTACCCAACACCCCACCCCTACACCAACCTCCTACAAACCTCCCACCCCCACCAACCTCCCACATCCACCCCACAGCCTCCCACAACCCTACACTAACCTCCCACACACTACAACCTCCCACAACCCTACACTAACCTCCCACACCCCCTACTTGGTCTCCCACACTCCTACACACTCACGCTGTAAAAAACAACAGCCTCCTCTTTTCGACAGCTAGGAGGGGGGGAGGGGTAGGGAGCTCTAGGGTGGTGTGGGTTGCGTGACGCGGAGTTATCACAATCATCGCTGGGGTAATGTTCTAATGGCACGATGCATTCTCCTGCACTGTAACCCGCAATTGCCTGCATATTAAGGGATCGAGTGATGCATTTCCGGCACGAAGCGACACGAACGGATCCGCCAGGGGAGAACATTAAGCCATATACTGGAAGTCTAATCATTTGTCTTTATTATGAACAAACTTTTTTTTTTTTAAAGGAGAATTTACTGTACCTTGGCTCGGTTCCGCATAGATACTGGTTCATAATGCTTATTTTTTATTTTTGTAGCTTGGTTAAGTGAAAGCGTATCTGATTGGGTAGTCTTGACCTGATTCATTCACATGGTGGTCAAAATACGCCCAAACACAGCTCCTTTAAAGCCTCAGTTATGTATATACAATCAAAACGGAGTGGTCAGATCAATTTCAAAATAAACAAAGCGACTCTTGTTGTTTCGGTGTGGTTCTTAAAATCCTTCGTCTGTTGTCATATTATCTAACACAAAACTGGAAACTGGAATCTTTGCAGTATATATAAATAAATATTAGGAAAGTCTGATCATGGCTTGGGATTAATCACGCAAATGATGAAATAATTTACAACTTATGTGGCAGAGAAGACTTTACACACGAGTCTTCTGTCAACATTGTAACATGACTCGCGATGTTGTCATGGAGTAAATAACATGTTACTGCAACTTACACATTCATTATACATTATTCCAAACAATCAAAACAATTAAACAAAGAACGAGATAGTTCATAATGTACTACTGTAATTTGGCTTTATGAAGTCATTTGCCCGAGACTGTATATACTGTTAGTTGTATTAAACGGTATTAAGTATTCATGTTCAGGGGAGGACAGCTGGTATAAAATAAGACCTAGTTAAAGCTGGTATTATTTGCTGGTAATTATGATAAGCTGCAAATTAGACCTTGGGCAATATTTATAGTGTGGTTCGAAAGTAGGTCACGTATAGCACTTTATTGTATAGCGTCCAGTGAGGCAGTATATTTGTTTTATGGTACAAACTAAATCACGTACGTTACATTTAATTGTGTTATATTACGTACTGTATTTATGGTATGACATGGAGAAGGTTACTTACAATAATTATAATACAACTCTGCATTCCTTCTCGTGTATGCAATGGATAATCAGATTACGTGATATAATTGTTACTGGCAGGAAAATATATGGGTTTAAGTAACACGTGACGTTCAGTAAATTATAATAAGAACTAAAACTCGGTACATAATTTATCTGTAAACAACAAACAGACGAAACGATTGTTTGTGTCATAACTACCAAGTATCACATGTTAAGTCTTAATCACCACAGATCAGGAATGACGTCACGTAATACAATTATCATACATCACGAGGGTATGTATGTATGTATGTAATGTATGTATGTATGTATGTATGTATGTATGTATGTATGTATGTATGTATGTATGTATGTATGTGTCATAATTATCGCACAGCACCAACTGGGTCATCTCAGACAGCCTTGGTGTGTCATTGGCCCCAGACCACTGAGTTGTACGAGTAATTACAGTGTATCACGAACCCAAGGCCACTGCGTTATAACCTAGGACCACTGCTTTATAACCTAGGGCCACCGTGTTGTAATCACTGTAGCTCAAATCAGATAAGGATTTTTTGACGCCTCATAATTATAATCGATGGGTTAATATGGCAGTGTAAGGCCAAACTATTATAATATACACGATGCCTATAATTTCACCTTCTGGGGGACACTAACTCACTTGGAGGGGAGGACGGATGACAAGAAAAGGAAGTTAGAGTGAGAGACAGTGTTAGGGAGAGATGAGAGAG